GCTGTTGTACTTCGCCAGACCGTTTGAAAACTGACTAGGCCGTTTTCAAACTGTCTAGGCCGTTTCAAACTGCCTAGGCCGTTTTCATACGGCCTGATATTTCAGGCGGTTTGCAAACGGACGGCTTTTTCGGACGGCGAGAAAGTGGCTGACGACCTCCACCTAAATAGGTCATTGTCTTGTCACGTGCCTCTGCAGTGTGAAGTCGGAATTTTTGCTGCTCCTGACTTATACCTCAATAATTATGGTTTTTTAAATATTATCTTCACCAAAATACGAAAATATTATTTCTTAAGTGATAAAAAGTTAATGGCCGCAAGATAATTGAATATCATCTCTTATTTTTTCGTCTTTTCACCAAATATGATTGACCTGCAAACCTACCGTCTTCGGATTGGCATGTTTTGCGGCGTTCGAACAGCCAGCAAACTGAAGCCAGCTTGGTGTGCCGGTCAAGACTCAGTGGCTCTTGGCTTGGCCTTGATCCTCACTCTTCTGGTGATAGGAGGTGTGGAGCGAAACCCCGGCCCCGATTTCGCGGATGAAGGCACTCCAGGACCATCATTCTCGGGAGTGACGCTTATGGACTTGATGGAAGCCATCCGTATAACCCAGCTGAAGCTTGACCATCTTTCCAGCAAAGTGGATGATTTGAGTCGGACTAGATCGATTTCTGATGGAACCCAGTACTCCATTGTCGTACCCAACCACTCCACACCGTCTAAATGCACGACAGCTGACTCCAGAGTGCCACCTGAAGCCCGCGCTACACTTGACTCTGGTGTGACGGGGAATTTCCAAACGACTGGCCCTCGCGAAACGCCGTACGCCTGTCCTACGCTCGACTCCAACGTAACGCCGGCGTCGCATACGACTCCCGGCTCCAGCAGAACGCCGAGCACAGGAGCTCTGCCGGCGACTTCGACCACAGCGGCTCCGACTACAGCAGTGTCACGCCACACAAACTCTGGAGCTTGGAGGCGCGTCAGCCCGCGCAGAAAACGTAGTAGCCGCAGCAGGAGCCCAGTTCCGAGTGTCGGGGCGGTCTTGCTCGGCTGCCAGAATGTACGCCGAATCGCTGCAGCAGCCAGGGATGAGTTCTTCTTGGGCGGTGAGGCCTTATTTAAAAGCATCCGTGGAGGGTCCGTACGCAGTGCCCTGGGGGCGCTAAGTGGTGCAGTGGCTAGCTGCAGGGCGCTCAGCGTAGACCTCGTCTTGCACATTGGGGGAAACGACTTGTCACATCGAAGTGTGGACTACACAGTCGACTGCATATCAGAGGTCGCACGAGTTGCTAAACAGCTTAAAAAGGTAAGGTCCATTGTGATATGCTCAGTGCCGCACGAGCACGACCTACCTTTGCCAGACGACTACATATCCAGACAACGTAGCGATCTCAACGATGAGATAAAGAGGCTGTGTCACTGTGAAGGTGCTCGTTTTTTGGACACCCGTCCGCGATTGAGGGAATGTATGTATGGTGGCTTAGATAAATCTAGACTGAACCTTAACAGAGATGGGTGCAGAAATGTATGGCAATTGCTAGCAGGTGAGGTAGAGGGTTTTTTAGGCTGAAAGAACCGTGGAGTAACGTCTCTGTTCCTAGGAAGCTTCAAAGTCGTTTATTCCATGATGCTGGCATGAACTCTGAGTACGCTCGCTCATCGAAATATGGTCTAGTAATTGGAACTTTAAATGTGCGTTCTTTAGCACCTTCAGTGGATATAGTAGCAGATTATGTTGAACGTTACAAGATTGACGTTCTATGTATCACTGAAACCTGGCTGAGAAGAGGCGAGCCTGATGTTCCTATAGCTGGCCTAACTTTGGCTAGCAGGCGTGACCGTCGAGGAAAGAGGGGCGGTGGTGTAGCCATATATTGCCGCAGTGACCTAGAATTTAATAAGGTTATCAGCCCTTCCAATCCTGCTAATAGCCGTCTTGAATGTATTTGGATTAATGTGAAATGCGGCTGTAATCGTGCTTTGATTGTGGGTTGTGCGTATAGGCCTCCCATATATGAAGGCATCAAAAACGATTTTGATGCCCTTGAATTATCAGTGAAAAAGTTGTTATCAGAGGGCAGGCAAGTGGCTTTATGTGGAGACTTGAATTGTGATCTGCTGTGTCCGAATCTGTATCAAGTTCGCTCCTTGCAGGATTTTATCAACAATGTCGGCATGCATCAATGCGTGAGCCACCCTACCCGTGTTACCAATACCTCATCCACGCTTATCGATATTGTTCTGGTAAGCGACTCTTCCCTTGTGACAGATTGCTCTTCGGAGGATTGCATTGTCTCTGACCATAACTTGGTTATTGTTCGAGTGAATGTCATAAGATCCAGACGGCCGCGTAAACTAATTAGCTATCGCAGATGGCAGGATGTTGATTCCAATGCGTTTTTGAACGATCTGCGTACAGTCTGCTGGTCTCCTGTATTTAGTGCTAAAGACCCAGATGAGGCATGGCAGGGTTGGAAAAACGCTGTGGTTCCTATCCTAGATAATCATGCCCCTCTTGTCACTACCAAAATCAAGCATAAAAGTGGTTTCGGCGTATCGAGAACCACCAGAAAACTCATACGTGATACCACTGCTCAAATGCGCATAGCTCGCCGCTCTGGTGCTACGATTGACGCAGCACTCTATAAAAGTATGCGCCGCCAAGTGCGAAGCGCTATTTCATTCGAACGGCGTTCCAAGTTTGAATCGAGCATCGGAACACATCAATCCAGTAAAGACACATGGAATCTTATTAACCTTACACTAGGGAAATCAAAAACTGCCCACCCCCTTGACAGAAGTGCGGCGCGCCTATTTAATGAGTTTTTTTGCTCCGCCGGTACTAATGCTGAAGCTGGTGTTAGTGTTACCTCTGGGTCGAGTGGCGCATGGTTTGCTCCCTCTAGAGTTCTTTCAACGAAGTTTGAATTGCGTCCAGCAACACATGCTGAGCTTAGGTTTGTCATACGTTCATTAAAAGTACGAACTTCATCGGGGCCTGATGGGATTCCTCCTTCCTTCTTTAAATCATTTTGTGGTCGACTATCTACACCATTATTGCATGTTATTAACGCCTCCATAGCCAGTGGTACCGTTCCATCATCCTGGAAACTCGCGGAGGTTGTCCCCATCTATAAAGGAAAGGGAGATACCAAGACTGCATCCAACTATATATAGGCCAATCTCTTTGCTAAGCGTGGGGTCAAAAATTCTTGAAAGACTCGTCTCCATTCAGCTCAATCAGTACTTGGACGATTGCCACGTATTGGCAGACGAACAGTTTGGCTTTCGTGCACACCATTCCGTCGAACATGCTCTTATACTTTTAACAGAGTCCATAAGGTCATCAGTGGATAATGGAGACGTATGCATTCTAGTTTCTCTCGACCTAAGCAAGGCATTTGATTCCGTCAGTCACAACATCTTGCTGAGTAAACTTTCCCAATATGGCATTGACCATCCTTGGTTTGAAAGCTACCTGTCAGGTAGATCTCAGTACGTGCGGGGTTGCGACGACGCAATAGGTCATGTATCTACCGGTGTGCCACAGGGAAGTGTTCTGGGTCCAACGCTTTTCAATCTATTCGTGAATGATTTACCTGCAGTTGCTAATGGCTTATGTACAATTATCCAGTATGCAGATGACACCCAAGTGTTGGTCTCTGGTTCGCCTCGTGATATAGGCAATGTCATAACTCGACTTCATGTTGCTCTTCAGAAACTTTCTGAGTGGTTCTCACGAAATCTACTTGCACTTAATGTTCTCAAAACGCAAGTTGTTGTGTTTGGTTCCAAAGTCACCATGAAAAATGTCAATGTTAGGAGTCTAAATATTTTTAACACTGCAGTACCCGTACAGCCATCACTAACTAGTCTAGGTGTAACGCTGGATAGTTGTCTTACGTGGAGCAGTCACATTGACGGTGTCATTCGAAAGTGTACTGGTATGCTAATTCGATTGGGCCAGCTTCGTCGCGTGATGCCCTTAAAGGTAATTGTCCTCCTAGTCAATGCCCTTGTTCTTCCTCATATTCGCTTTTGCATGGCTCTCTGGGGAAACTGTAATGTGACACAAGGGAAGAGAATAGGAAAAATAGTTAAATTTGCACAGCGTATCGCAGGTCGCGAAGCTCACAGACTGGCTTGGCGTGGAGATCTTACCTTACAGCATAAAATCGCGGTATTGAAAACAGTTCGTCAATGTCTACTTATCCCTGAATGTATGCCGCCACTAATTGTGTCTCTCTTTAAAGAGAGACAGTCAGACCGACAAACAAGGCAATCAGGCAACCTTGACCTGGTTATACCTAGGACTGAAATGAAGAAAGCGTCCTTCTCTTACAGTGGTGCAAAACTATGGAATAGCTTGCCCATTCATGTCCGAAACTATTCGAAAGCTGATTTTGTAAAATATATTTTGGAAAATCACGCGGTAAAATGATGCATATGTATGTGGTGTTGTTCCGGTGATGTCACATTGTTCGTTGTAATAATTGCCGGTTACTTATGAGGCTTCGCTGTCTCATCAAACTTTGTGTTATAGAAAATCGCTTCTGTTCTGCATTTTGATTTCGTTATACGTGCTTATGAATGACAGGGCACTGCGCTGCCTGTATTGTATGTATATGGTTTATGTGTGTCAATGTGTTTCCCTCTGTAATGCCCACCGAATGGTGGTTAGTGGGAATATGAAATAATAATAAAAATAGGACACTGATACTTTTTTTTAAATGGTGTTGATAACTTTTAGGCGTGTTTCATGTGTATTTTAATATTTTTAGTGTAGGGTGCAATCTTACTTTTATGCTGCATATTTTACTTTTAATAGGTACCTGATTTTATGTAAACCTGACACTTGTTCCGAAAAGCCATCGAATGTGGACGAACATAAGAATACATGATGATGATGATGATGATTTCAGGCCGTTTTCAAACGGCCTGACTGGGCCAGGCCGTTTGCAAACGGACTGGGTTTTCATACGGTCTGTAACATATATATTTTTAGCGTTTGTCTCGTGAGGTCAGATTTAATTTGCTGATTCAATTGTTGTTTCGTTGGCCAGAGATTATGTTATTTTTCTAGGTTTTGGTATCGCTTTTTTGTCATTTTTATGTTTTATGGTTTTGCGTCCGTTTACAAAATCACCAAAGGACAGTGAGCGGGTGAGCGGCGCGAAGCGGGACGAATTGAACGAAATTGAACGAACGAACCTGAACGAACGAACTTGAACGAACGAACCTGAACGAACGAACTTGAACGAACGAACCTGTACGAACGAACGAACTTATACGAACGCGCTTATACGAACGCCAACGAACGTTAAATCGGCGGTGTCAAGTTCTTGCCGGTGGCTGCAGACCTGAAACAATCCGTGAGTTTTCTTTGCGTTTATGTGTTTGTGTGCTATGTGTTCCGTTTTATTTGGTTACTACTTCTATCGTACTTATATTTGGTTACGTCTTATATCGCTACTGACTGTTTTTTTAATTGTCATACTTATGGACCTGTTGGTGTGTTTTGTTTCTTGCAGAAAACCGTTTTTAAATACAATGAGTATTGGATCCTGAGGCTCCACCGGTAAAAGTTTTGGATTCGTTTGGTATCGTCTTACTCCGGAAATTAAGAAATCAAGTTGAATCCGATGTTCGTCAGTACGAAAACTGCAAGAAGAATCAACAAGGTGGATTAATTCGATTCTGATATGTGTGAGAGGCACAGTAAGTTCTGCAAGACCTTCAAATCTATCATCCCAAAATCTAAGGTACAGTGACTTCATATTATATTCTTCGGCGTTCTTCAGCAACCTCACGGCTGTCTTCTGGAACCTGCTGGGTAGGGGCTCGGGCTTCTGTTGTTGGGTCAGCTTAGGCCTCTGTCTGTTGTTGGGCTGGTTTGATTTTCTGTTGTTAACGAATACGATTACGAATTGCGCATTGCGACATAGGGCGAGTAGTGCTACTAAGTACTAACTGATTACGGAGCGAGCGAAGCGAGCGGAGTCTTACGTAGAATAACGGAAATTTCTGAGTATGAGCGGCCGGCCGGCCGGCCGGCCGTGCGGACGCTTTTGCGAGGCTTATATCTCAGCAACCACTTGACCGATTTACACGCGGTAATTTTTATAGGGTAGCTTCATTCCTTCTACCAAGTATTGGACTATTCCCGATGCATGTGAGTGACCCCTTATGCACGTGCCACGTGCAAAACGAAGAGGTGTCAGTTTTGCAATTGTTGCAATATTTCGGTAACTACTTGGCCGATTGCGCTGAAAGTTGGCATGTAGGTAGGCACCCACTAGGCACTGCATATCCATGTGCCAGAGTTGGGGTGCTGCTGCACGTGCGCACGTGCAGGGGTCGTTTCCAGATCTCGAGAACGGCTGGACCGATTGCGCTCAAATTTGGTACACAGTTAGGGACCGGTTAGTAGGGTGCCGTGCAAAAGCCAGTCGGGACCCATTTTGCACGTGCGCACGTGCAGGGTGCCGCTCCCAGATCTCGAGAACGGCTGGGCCGATTGTGCTCAAATTTGGCAAATCGCTAGAGACCGGTTAGTAGGGTGCCGTACACAAGTCAGTTGGAGGTACCCCCTCGCAATTTCGCACGTGCAAGGCCCACCCTCTCGCTCGCTCCGTTAGTCGCCCCATAAGGCGTTATACTGGTCGGTAGTAAACGAACTTATATGTATGTGTAAGATGTCACGTATTCACTTATATTATACGTCTCGGCAGGTAAGCACGTACGTAGCATGTAAGCACCAGGGCACCGGTCCGCACCGGTCACCGCCTCAGACCAGACTGCCGGCCGCATCAGCGGCCCGACCTCGGGCCAGTCACGGTCACGTGACTAGCGCCCGCGGCGCACACCAAGACCCAACTCGGCGGCCAGCGCGCCGCCAGCCGGCCAACCGACCGGCTCACTATAAGTATTATCAACAACCTTTACATCCCTCCCTCCCTACAATTGAAACACTGAGAACGTGAGCTCGGAACATTCCACGGCAAACTCGCCAATCCCGCCACGGCACTCCAATCAACGGGATATCACTAGCATAGGGCGTATAGACGTCTCACCAACGTAGCTACACTGTACACAACAGCACCATTCAAGCGCCCGCACACTCGATGCACAGTGAAGCTCTGCGCACGGCTCACTATTGATCACACTGAGCGGCGTGTCGGCACCACCGTGTTGCGCCACATCGCGCCGCCACTGTCCGTTCTCCTGCCAGTCCAGTCTAATGTCCAGTCCTGAGACGGGCCATTCACTGCCACCCAGCCCTGGGGACACAGAAATTAAACATTAGCGATTTGTTGCTTTCCCAAGACACATAAAACAAACAACTGTGTCCTTTTTCATAAAGCCTGGAATTGTAGAATTGTAGTTGTAGTTTGTAGGTTTGTACTTCCGATTGTACAAATATGTTTCATAAAGGAAAAAGTACAATCCGAAAGTACAAACTACAATTCCACAAACCTACAACTCACATTCGGCAATTATCAGCCAAAAAACTAGCAATCTGTTTCATAAAAAGAACGGTTCCTCTGATTTTGGGATTTCCTTGACGGAAAATACAATCGAAATCTACAACGCCCTAACCGTGTGTAGAATTTCGGAGATGGAGCATAGGAATCAGCTTAACGTTGCTAATAATTTAATTCAATAATAGCCAATGCTCAGATACACGATATGTATTATTACTGAGCGAGAGAGCGCAGCAAGCGAAGCGAGGTCTTTTCAATATAACGAAAAAATCTCAGTATTGAGCTGCCCGGTCCGGCCCGGCCAGTAACACTTTTGCCGGGCTAATATCTCAGCAACCGCTGGACCGATTGACCTTCGGTCTTTTTTGTTGGGTAGTCCTATTCCTTCTACCCGTAATTGACTATTCCTAATGCATTTCAGAAACCCTCGTGGCACGTACCACCACCATAGGCGATGGAACGGGGGGGGGGGCACCGGGGCACCGTACCCCCCTTTGATTTTGCTATTTTATCATTAGCCCTATGGACGTTGCATGGAAAGAATAGGACCAAAAGTCGGCAGTGCCCTCCCCCCCCCCCCTCCCCTTAATTGAAGGTGTTCCGCCGCTACTGCGTGCCACGTGAAAAGTCAAGGGTGTTCATTTTCAAGCTGTTTTGCAAAAGTAGTGATTTTGGGAGGCTCATATCTCAGCAGCCGCTAGGGCGATTGTCTTGCGGTAATTGTTGTAAGGTAGCTGCATCCCTTCTACCAAAGGTCGGATACTCTTGACCTACGTGAGTGGCCCCCACTGCATGTCAGGGACGTAGCCAAGGGGGGGCGGAGGGGGCGCCCGCCCCTCCCTTGGGGTTTTCAGGAGGCCCCCCGAAAGGATTCAGGCCAACGTGGGCCGAAGGCCCACGTTGGCCTGAATCCTTTCGGCCTGAATCCAACGTGGGCCGAAGGCCCACGTTGGCCAAAATCACGTCGGAGGCGAACGAAATTCACCCGGGAATCTAAAAAATGACGTCAGAACAATCAGGGGCCCTCTGACCAGCCTGACAAGTGACAGCTAGGGCCCTTCTCATCTCCTGTGAATAACCACTAGTGTCTGTGTCTGACCGCTAAGGCCCCTCTGACTCCTCAGTAGAGAGGAGGCCCTCTGTGGGTAGGATGCCCTGTGTAGAGAAGAGCCCCCCTTAGAGAGGAGACCATCTGTAGAGAGGAGGCCCTCTGCAAAAAGGAGGCCCTCTGTAAAAAAGAGGCCCTCTGTAAAATAGAGGCACTCTGTAAAAAGGAGGCCCTCTGTAGAGAGGAGGCCCTCTGTAGAGAGGAGATCGTCTGAAGAGAGGAGGCCCTCTGTAGAGGAGGACTCCCTCAGTAGAAAGGAGGTCCTCTGTAGGTCGGAGGCCCTCAGTAGAGTGAAGGCCCTCTGAAGAGAGGAGGCCCTTTGCAGAGATGAGGTCCTCGGTATAGAGGAGGTCCTGTGTAGAGACGAGACTCTGAAGAGAGGAGGCCCTACATAGATAGGAAGCCCTCTGTAGAGAGGAGGTCCCTGTAGAGACTAGAGAGGAGGCCCTCTGTAGAGAGGATGCCCTCTGTAGAGAGGATGCCCTCTGTAAAGGAGGCCCTCTGGAGAGAAAGACACCCTCAGCAGAGAGGAGGCCCTCTGTAGATAAGAGGCAATCTGTATAGAGAGGAAGCCCTCTGTGGCTGTGTTGGTATTTTTACAATGGATGCAATTACCCAAACCATTTATCAGACCGTGGTGATATTCCCATAGCCATGCTTCGCACAACTCATAATAATTTATTTGACCGGGAAATTAATATATACCTATCCATCGATTGTTTGTTTCATCTACGGCGTAAATGAAGCAAACCACCTGGACCATAGGAAAATTTACTAACGAAACCATGTTTTACTTACAGCAAGTAAACGTGGCATCATTCACACATAAAAAATTGATAACCGTATAGTTTCAATCTTGCAGACGTCAGTCAGGTCAGAATCGTGACAAGCCTATTGGAAAATATAATGAACTGTGTCCTGCTTCGAGAAAACGAGTCAAAACCACCAAATTCTTTCTGAATTAGGTACGTCAGGTCAGATTATCTGATCTGTAAGCACCCAGGTGGCATTTACTGACAGGGGCACCGGGAAGGATCATCTGAGGTGAGGTGAGGTCATCAACAGTTTTTAGCCAATAAATCACGACATGATGGGGCTAGATAGTTGTTAGTGTACCAAACCGTTCGCCTGGTCATGACGCGCCGATTGGTACCCAGCGTGACCTTCCTAGGTCAGATTTTGAAGTTGACCTATCTATGTAGGTCGTTATAAACCATGTTATTTGTTATGACCTCTGGCGACCTCAATATTGACCTGACCCAAAAAAGTTGTTTACAAAAGTTGTAAGTCGTTCAACGAACTATCAAACGCCGTTACCGTTTGTCGCTACGATTCGTGCTTTTCGAGTTCTGACGGGGGCCAAAAAGGCCCCCGCCCGATTCAGAGTCTTTCAGAGCCCGCCCGGAATACTTGAACGATATATGATAATACACCAAGTGTTAGGTACTCTGACCGTCATCCAGTATCCATCCATTCCTCGCAGATCCTCCCCCCCCCCCCCTCCTGCTGCGGTCCGGCCGCCGCCGCCGCCGCCGCCGGCGCCCGAGTTTTTTTTTTGCCAGTTACCATGCCACTGGGAGACTTGTGATATGCGTATGTTTCTTAAATATTGCAGATATTGCTTAAATATACCAAATAAAGAAACATACCAATGCGCTGGCCATATGAAAGCTGAACAAAAGTCTGCATTATGTTGTATATGTAATTATGTAGGCATGAGACCCTCTGTAGAAAGGAGGCCCCTTTAGGGAGGAGGCCCTCTGTAGAAAGGAGGCCCCCGGGATTCCTCCGCCCCTCCCTTGGCCAAATCCTAGCTACGTGCCTGCTGCATGTGCAAAAAGCAAAAAGAAGAGGTGTTAACTTTGTTCCCGCTCGTTTTTCGCCCAAAAGGCACTTAACTGGTTATTTTCATCATTTTCCTGTTTATATATAACTTCATGTGTGCCGCATTTCCGAAAAAAATGCCGGCATTGAACGGCTCGACCCGACCCC